GGGCTGGCTCCTGAGGGAACGCGCGGCCGTGCTGAGCTTTGCGCTGCTGGAACTGCTGCCCTCGCTGCTGACGAGATGCTGCGGTCGCAATCAGCAGCGCTTTGCCCCCCTCATGCCCTCAGAGCCCGGGAGAGCAGCGGGGCAGTCTCATCCCTGCCCTGGCCGCAGGCGATGTCCGGGAATATCGGTTTTATCGAGCCTTTCTGTCTTGAAATTTTATTCCCGGCTTCGTGTCGAGGTCCTCCAAGCCCAGCAGCTGCTGTGAAAGCAAATATGCCGAGAGAGAAACCACAGAAAGGCAGCCCGGGCAGGGCGAGTCCTGCCAGACCCACACCCAGCACCGTGCTGCGGCTGCCTGCGATGGAGAGGCGAGTCTTCAATCCTTGGCTGCAAGGAGCACAACTCCAAGCTCACGGAAAGTGGCTTTAGATCAACACCAGCAGCAAAGCCAGGGGCTGATGAAACAAGCATGACATGGCACAGCTCCCAGTGACCTCCCCAGCCCTGGGATTCCAAGGGCTGGACTAACCCTTGGTGCTCATGCTGGTGTGCAAGCCACAGCACAAAGCCTTAACGATCCAGCGTTTATTGGCTTGTTTTAGTCGTGTAAAAGCCAAGGTATTTTCCAGCAGCCTCCTGCATGGGGGAAGGAACTCAACCAGGTTTGGTTATTAATTGTAGGTCTTGCAGGTTCTTGCAAAGTTGAGTCAGGCTGAATGCTCACCAGTTTTCTCCCTAGTGGTGGATACTATGATACCAAAGCAAACATTTATTCCTGTGGGATGTTCCTTTTGCTGTGATTATTTGTCAGATGTAAAATATTGCAGTATAAATTAAAATTAAAAGCATTGAGCCTCCATCCAGCACAGCCCAGCCAGGCTCTGGTTGCCCATGCCAAGCCCTGCTCACAGGAGTTGGTGCTCAGACCTCACGCCAAGCCCAGCTGAACATTTGGAGCCAGAGGATGTTTCCAGCTCTCCATTTCTCAACATGGTCATTACCTTTCATCTCTCTGTGATAACTTTACTGGTGAGGAAATCCATTTATCAATGTTCCTCCCATCTAGGACAGCTCAGCATGGATCAGTGCTTCATGGGCTGCTGCACCAGCCCTGGAGCCCCTCCTGCCGTGCACCTGCAGCCCAGGAGCTCCTGGTGAGAGCAGGAAGAGCCATGCTGGCTATGGACACGTGTTCATACCACCAAAACCCTCCCTCCTTCATGTTACAGAGCAGGGAAGCAAAAGACAGGGTTTATTTATAATCTTCCTCAAGTGGAAACCAAAAGAAGTGACCCGTTATTACTGAAGATTTCTCAAGCCACCCAGGAAGAAAAGTGATATTTAGTTGTCGTTAAAGGCTCAGAACTGCATGACAATTTCATGCTATGTTAACTTCTAGGTTTTCTTTCGCATATAAATTTTTAAGGAGTAAAATAGAAAAACCCAGGCACTTGACCTTTAATCACAGTTATTTGTGTGATCACTCAAGTGTGGGAAAAAGCTAGTTTGTGCTTGAAAGATGCCCTTTAAAGGCAGATTGCTCTAATATGACACACAACTCTCACAGTGTAATACACAGGAATTCACTTGCCTGCCTCCAGGCACAGCAGCTTCCTTTTAGTATTCACACACTGGGTCTTGCTGCTGGGACAGTGGAAGGTATCAATGTCATGAAGCAAATCAATCCAGACCCCTGGGACAGCTCCATTCACCACCAAGCTCCACAGGCATGCACACTTTGCTGTCACTGAGGAGCCAAGCAGGGAAGAGGATTTTGGAAGTATATAGAAGATTTTATGTTAGATATGTTTTACTAGAAGAAAGGTCTGTCGTGTTAAAAGCACACAGCTTATCCATTTATCTGAAATATTATTCCAAGCACTGATAAAGCCTTGGTGGTAGAACAGCCAGAGGTATTTTAATTGAGATTTTAAGTATCATGCTTTGGGGAAAATGATCTCATGAATTTTGTTGCAGCAGCAGCAGATGACAAAGCCATTGCTGGTGTGAAGAAAACAGAGAAACAGAGCAGCCTTTAATGGATCCTACTGGATTTCTTCACAAAGTCACACCAAGGATAGGATGGAGGGATGCTGTCCCCAGGATGGCACAGCCCACAACAAGGGGCCAGTATCAGCAGGTGAAGGAAGAGCAGCACCAGGTTGTCTGCTCATCTCTGTCACCATGATATTTTCTGAAAAATCCCTTCACCAGGATTTCTTCTCCTGGGAAGATGAGAACCCTCAGTTTCTCCCTGTTTTGCTGCTTTGGAATTTGATTTGAAAATTGTTTATCCAGCATCTGAATTGTTTTTAATTAATGGCCAATCACAGCCAGCTGTGTCAGACTCTGAGTCAGTCATGAGTTTTTATTATTCATTCTTGTTAAGCTTCTGATGTATCTTTAATCTTTCTTTAGTATAGTTTTAGTACAGCATGATATGATATATGATATGTGATTAATATAATATAATTAATATAATTAATATAATATATTGTAATACAATGTTATAATATAATGTAATATAATATAATGTAATTTAATGTAATGTAATGTAATATAATATATCAGTCTTCTAAGAACTTGGAGTCAGATTCTCATCTCTCACCTCATCCTGGGGACCCTCACAAACACCACAATCTCTGCTGCTCACATCCAGCTCTGGGGCTGCTGCCCTTCCCCACTCCTGCCTGGAGCCTGCAGAGAAAGAGCAAAGGGAAAGCAAAGGCATCAGGTCAGCCAGGCTCCAGATTTTCAGGGGATCTTGTGCAAAGAGCAGGGCTAGCCCAGAAAATGTGTAATTGGCCAAGTTGAGCTATTACCTGTTGTAAGTGCAGACAGAAAGATAGTTTTGACACCACAGTGAAAATAACCCTCCTGGAAAAAAAAAAAATCAATACAAACACCAAGAAAAGAGAATCAGAAACCAAGACCATCAATTCCTGAGATAAAGAGAGTTGAAAGTCTCAGTGGGAGGACAGCCAGACCTGTACTGAAAAACAAAACTTTACTTCTTCTGCTGACAAATTACTTTTTATGTTAAAGGACAAAGGAGCCATGAGGATGCAGGCCCCAATGTAGAGCTGAAGGAGCAATCCTTGACAAAAGCTTTTGCACCTCTCCTTTCTCTTCCACACTTGCAAGTATTATTGTACAATAAAACCAAAGGATTTCTGCAGTTTTGCAGTGTTTTTGGCATGTCACACAAACACAGTCCAGGACTTCTGCTGTGACAAGGGCAGAGCCAGAGCAGAGGAAGCAGCAGCAATACAGCACAAGCATGGTGGAATTAGGGAATATCCCAGAGAGGAAAGTGGCTCAGACATCAGGTCCCAGTGGCACCTCACCAGTGTGCCAGCCCCAGCTGACCCCAGGGCTCAGACACTGCTTCCCTGTGTCACAATGCTCCATTCCTGCTCATCCCCTCCTGCTAACAGGCAGAAATCACAGTGAAAATGGAAGTTAATGTAAAGCTTCTCTGTCACTGATATATTTCATGAAAAATCCTTTTGACAAGATTTTTCTCCTGAGAAGCTGAGAGGCCTCAGAAACAAAATGTAAACAATGATTATCTGCTGCTGTGGAATGCAACAGCTGCATCTTTGATTAGTCTCATGTAGTTGTTTTTAATTAATGGCCAATCACAGTCCAGCTGTCTCACTCTCTAGTCAGTCACAAGATTTTATTATCATTCCTTTCTATTCCTTGCTAGCCTTCTGATGAAATCCTTTTCTTCTATTCTTTAGTGTAGTTTTAATATATAAT